ATTCTTTCCGTGTATTTTTGAATAGCCATCGCAATGGTGTTATTTTCACACGTGAAAATAACATGTTATTTTCACGTGTGAAGATATCAATTTTTCGAAATAGAGAAAAATAGATATTTCATTGGTAATTATATAATAAATAGAGGATATTACATGGGCGTGCGGAGATACGAATTTTATCTTCAAGTGTTCAATTGATATCTCACGGGTGAGCGAAGCGAACGAGAAGATAAAATTCGTATCTCCAAGCGGCCATGTATACGTAAATAATTTAAGAATAAAATAAATAAAATGTGACCTTCCATGAGAAAACGTGTCTTAACGCTTTTCCTTTAAACGGCCTATTTTAACGGCTTTTAACGCTTTTTGAGAGACGTTAACGCTTTGCCAGAACGTTATAACGGTTTGCACTGAACGGCTAACGCTTTTCTGAAATGACCTAACGGTTTTTGTGGCTACTGCCTCTAAGAGGCGAAGCCACTATGTCATCGAGTTGTGTCCGTCCGTCCGTAAGAGTGAGTGAGTGTGACTCGGCAAACGTTCGATATTAGTCGAAAGGGTTTCGAGGAATTGTGATTAACTTCGGAACCAATCAGCAATCATCATCAATAATAAACAATTTGATACGAAACAATGAACAAACTTCGGAACCAATCAACGCTTTAACAACAAAATCTCGCTGTACTCCGATTATTGCCGAGGGGGATGACGATGACGGCTGTTCATGGTTGACTAGACACTGGTGAAAAACGCACTGCGCACGCTCGGAGATGGCATAGCGTAACTAAGGGCAACTTGTGTTTTTGATGCCGGTGTTTTGATTGTTTTACAAAATCGCAAAACTTAAGAAAAATGCTGAAAACTTAAGGTTGTCCTTTTCGCAATAGCAAGATAATTTCGATAGTGATACACTGCTGATTTATACAATAAAAATTTTGTTTATACAAAGCAAAAATAATCTTTGAAAATGCCGCCACTCGCGGCCCGACGATTTGCAGATAATCACATGCTCGGATCCTATGTAAAGAAATCCAAAAATATGTGTAAAATTCCAAACCGAATATTTAAAAAATAGCCCTGTCGGTTAAAATAAAACCTACCTTTAGATGTGATCAATTGTTATTGTCCGCCATTTTGTTTTTTCTCCCAACGCATGCGCAGTGCGTTTTTCATCAGTGTCGGTTGACTATTGTACAAAGTTCAAGTAAGTGAAGTGTTTTCATAGAATTTTTCACTTTTATTTATCACAACTTTCATTTGGTTTTTCTGTACTATTAAATGAAAGGTTTTGCAAGTGTTACTCAAATTTTAGGCCGATTTTTACGCCGAAATTACCAGGCAGGACAGCGAAGACAAACCTGGCTGATCACAGACCATGAGCTTTGTATGCAGATAAAAAATCCTTTATTGGGAAAGCAAAAGCCTCTTCGGAGGCTGATTGAGCCTCTTTGGAGGATAATTGAGCCTCTTTTACTAATTTTGGCATGTTCTTTTCGAATATTATTTTTCGTTATGTTGGATTAAATTTTAAAACGTCACGCAACCTGATAACCCCTCATTAACAAAGAAAGAAGTTGTAAAATGCCTTGAACTACTTCTTATTTTAATAAATCGTGTATATATACGTTAAATGGTCTGCTTCGTTCTACATTCTACAGGTTTCTCAATATAAAGCTGGCACTATTACACTCTGCCCGCTCAAAAAMAAAAAAAAAAMAAMAAAAAAMMAAMMAAAAAAMAMAACACRACACGACCACAACAAACAGAAAATATTATTGGGACATTTTCAACGAAACTTGAGAACACTCAAAACAGCTCTTTTGACGTCTCCCTCCAAAACATTCAGCTCCCAGCCCGGCCTAAAACTACCAAACACAAAGAAAGGAAACTAATATGAAAACAACAACCACAGTAATGTACCTAGTTGTATGCCATTACGCACATGCGTTCCAGAAAAGTTGAGGGAAATCAATAAATAAATATACCTACTTGCAAAAACGTTGGCATAGAAAAACACGACATAAGTAATTTAGTGAGAAACTAAATTAAAAGACAAAAGAAGATCAATGAAGCGGAATTGCAGTCCATACCTCGGATAGCCTGTTAACGAGGCTCTCCAGGGCGCGGACGAAAATATATAGATTACACTTGCTTCCTCAGCAAACCCGTAAAAACATGTTTGTTAAAGCATTCCAGTAAAAATAAATGAACTAAATCCCAGTTTCGCAATTCTGCAGTAGCCACATGCGCTCATCGAGCGTCTATTTTTTATAAACGGTTAACGCTTTTCTAAAATGACCTAACGGTTTTTTCATAAACGGCTAACGGTTGGCTAACGATTTTTCATAAACGGCTAACGGTTGCCTAATGGTTGGCTAACGGTTGCCTAACGGTTTTTCATGAACGGCTAACGGTTTTTTAACGTTGCTCTTACGTTTAGACTTGAAGGCCTAAACGCTTTGCCAACAGCTTTAAGCTTACTTCGAGATGCTTTGCTAACTGATCGTTTTGTCGCTGTTCCTTAATTTCAGTGTTGAGAAAAATATGAATAAATGATAAGCTTGATGCCCTGGTTTTCCTTGAATATACAGTATTATTGTTATCAATAATCAGATTATTACCATAGTGTTATACTGAATGTCTTTTATTATATGGTGGAGTTCTTGGAGGCTAGGTTGTTCTTGGTTCTTGTGTGAGTCAGCCATCTTGCAAAGTTTCGCTTGTGGTGTTGTTCTGGTCACTAAAGCTGTCAACCTGAGATGATTCTTTTAATAATTGTTGCTTGAGTACCTATACATCAGTATTTATTAGTACAACACTTAGTACATAACAGCATCAACTTATCTGCCAGATAGCGCTATCCAGGCTTCGTACAACCGGGCCCAGGTCTATAACATTTTACTCAAACCCAATTGGCTTTTCTACTCAGGTCTATGATGCCAAAAATCTGCTGAAGTGACGGTCGTATTTGTACTGGCAGGGGAGAGGTGTTCCATGTTGAGTAGTTAGTAGTATTTGGCTCGATCCATCCACCAACTTCCCTTCACAGCACACTACTTAGTACAGCAGTATATTCTGCTCTAAAGGGCATGAAAACAAAGAGGATTCTAACCATTCAACAATGGTAAAGACTTAACCCTGTCAGTAAAAGGACACCTGCCACTTGAGTATATTTGACTTCTCACTGTTATTTGTAGTGTTGCATAATATTTGTGGTTTACCAGCAGAATGGGTCAGGCCTCCCCTCGAGTCAAATATTATGGAAATGAACTTTTGGTTCACATCAATGCAACAGTTATTAGTGACTGTTTTGGTGCAATACTAGAGCGAGATCTCAGATGTGTTGGTGAGACTGAGAGAATAAAGGTTGAAACAATGTATCTTGATTTTACAAAATCCAAGCCAGGTGCTGTTTATTAATAAACTAATATTAAACTATTTTTATTAAAATTTTGACAGTTCTTGAATCATTACAGTTTTATGTTAATAAATATTGATTTATAAGAAACAATTATAAAAAGTAGGGATTGAAGGTCTTCAATATTTTTAAAATCCAGCTTTACTCCAGCTTTAGTATATACAAATCAGGGGTGTGGGAGGGGGAATGAGGGAAAGAAAAGTTTACAGTTTGCAAGTGTTGCTATGTAGCTGAACTACCAATCTAATTTAGTAATTTGACCCTGCGAATTACGGAAATAGTCAATCAGCATTAGCCAATCAGCATCAAAGTAATTTTCCCCTCTATGTGATAATCTATATTAAGAACTTCAAGGCAGTAATTAACATTAAACATAGATCCCCTCCCCCAGGGACAGTGAAGCATATTTATTTATTTATTTATTTATTTATTTATTTATTTATTTATTTATTTATTTATTTATTTAT